ATTTACCTTATTATTTTTTGGGGGGCTCTTTTTGAGACAGGGTCTTCCTGTAGCCCCAGCTGTCCTGGAACTCACTATGTAGACCAGGCTGGCCTTGAACTCACAGAGATCCACCTGCCTCTGCCTCCCAAGTGCTGGGACTACAGGCGTGTGCCACCACGCCCCAAAAAGTATTCATTTATTGGCGGGGTCTGGTGGCACGCACCTTTAATCCCAGCACTTGACAGGTGAATCTCTGTGAGTTCGAGGCCAGCCTGGTTTACAAAGCAAGTTCCAGACCAGCTGGGGCTACAGGGAGACCCTGTCTCAAAAAGACCAAAAACAAACAAAAAAAATTATTCATTTATTTAGTGCATTTGTGTGCATGGCACTTGTGCACTTGTGGAGGTCAGAGAATAGGTTTCAGAAGTTAGTTCTCTCCTTCTACCATGTGCATTTTGGAGCTCAAATTCATGTCATCAGATTTCTCAGCAAGCACCTTTACTCACTGAGCATCTCACTAGCCCATCCACATTATTATTATTATTATCATTTTTATTATTATTATTTGGGACAAGATCTCTCTTACTGAGCCTCGATCTTGTTGATTCGGTTAGGTGGGTTAGCCAGTGAGCTTCAGGAATCTACCCCACCCCTGTGCTACGGTTACAGACATGAGCTGCTGTGCCCAGCTTTTTTTTTTTTTTTTTTTTTTTTTTATTTTATGTGTATGCGTGTGGTACCTGCATGTAGGTCAGTGCACCCATGTCGTGCAATGCCCGCGGAGGTCAGAAGAGGCTGTTGAATCCCCTGGGACTGGAATTATGGACAGTTTTTAGCTGCCATGTGGGTGCTGGGATTCGAGCCCAGGTCTTCTGCAAGAACAACTAGTGTTCATAACAGCTGAGCCATCTCTCCAACCCGAGTTTTCTTTTTTGGTTTTATGTTTATCTCATTTTGGCATTATAGGGATTTGGGGGTTCTCCCTCTCTATCATCTTTGAATAATTTAAGTAATATTGGATACAGATATTCTTTAAATGTCTAGTAGAATTCTACTGTGAAACCACCTGGTCTGGGCATTTTTTCATTGGGAAGTATTGTAATGCTGTTTCAATTTCCTTGTATTTTATGGGTCTGTTCA